AGCAGGAATACTCTGGAAGCTTTTGTTAACAACCGCATCTTTATAGTTTGTGTATATCCCCCAAATAGATGAACCTACCCTGGTAAGGAAGTCAGATAAACAGAGCTGCTCACTTTGTTAGGCTTTCAGTGGTGCTTCCTTCCTGGCAGTGAGCCCTCCCTTTTCCTCCCTGCAGCCACGTCAGTGGACAAAGGCGAGTGCCTGGGGGGGTCGACGCTGAGCCTTCTCCATGACAGGAGCTTCAACTACACAGGAGACAGCCAGGCGCAGGAGCTGTGCCTGTACCTGACCAAGGCGGCCAGTGCACCCTACTTTGAGGTTCTGGAGAAGTGGATCTACAGGGGGATCATTCATGACCCTTACAGGTGGGACTCTGCGAGGTGCCTGTGGCAGATAGTCTGCTGCCCCCTTTCTTGTAGAGGGCACTGACCTCGGTGAGATAGCCAGGTGCACCTCCATTATTGTTTGCACACAGCAGGTAGATACTGCGTTCAGCCAGTCTGCTGTGTAGCCAAGGGAAGAGGCTGTCCACTTGGCTGCTGATTTGCAACTTTATTCTATTTTGTACAGGATCTTAAAATGACCTTGAGTCAGGGTTCTTAACGTCCTTGGTGTGTGGACTTGTTCTCTGATCTAGTGAGGTCTTCTGGGCTCCTTCTTCACACAATGGGTGTAAATGCATAAAATGTATCAGGTCACAAATAATTCTATAATATTGAGATGTTTGTCAAAGTTTTTTTTTTTAGTTATTTTTATTTATTTCATTCCATTTGTTATTATTTTTCAATTTGACCAGAGAGAGACAGAGAGAAAAAGAGAAAGGGAGAAAGCAGGCCACCCGGTCCAGGACTCGAACCACAGTAGACCATGTGGAAATCCAGTGCCTTTAACCATCACGCTATCTGCCGGCCCCAAGACGTTTGTCAAAGTTTTTTTGTTTGTTTGTTTGCTGTAGAGTACATACGCTTGCCAGAGACAGATGGAGAGAGAAAAGGTGAGAAATCACTCCCCAAGGGGGATGGCCACGCTGCAGCCCCTTCTCCTCTATCCTCCTCTTGGGATTTTGGGCAGGCACTCATATGACCTGGTGTGTTTTCAAGCCACTAGGTCTAAGACTCTGAACTGTGCAGCCAGCTTTAAGGGACCTGGCCACTTTAACCTTCCATGTTAACCCTCCATGTCACCTGTTGGTCCTGTAAAAAAAGTATTTTTAAAAATAAATTTGTGAGATAGAAATATAATCAGCCCTGGTCTGGCCCCATGGCTTAAGGGGTTAAAGGAACCAGATCCCATATGGCTGACCATATGGTTCAGATCCCAGCCCTAACATATGGGAAAACACACTGGGCATGTGGGTATGCATGCCCCAAATCCCAACAGGATGGAGAAATGGAGAAGGGATTGCTATATAACCACTCCCCATTGGGAGGTGCTTTCTCCCTCTACCTCTCTGTCTCTGGCAAGTGCATGTGCCCTCTAGCAAATAAAAAAGCGAGAGAGAAAGAAACACAATTGGCCCTATGTAATCACAGATGCTGCATCCATAGATTGAACTGCAAATCAAATATATTCAAGGAAAAAAAAAAAAAAAAAGAAAAAAAGAAAAAAAATATATATATGTAGCAATACAAGCCAGCCAGTAGCATGGAGGTTAAGGTGGCTGGATCCCACATAGTACAGTCCACGTCCATACCTAGTGGCTTGAAAAACATGCTGGACATTCATATGCCCAGAATCCCCCAAAAGAGGGAGAAACAGAAGGAATTGTAGCATGACCATCACCCCATGGGTGGAGCTTTTTTACTTTTTCTCTTTCCAGTGCGTGCAAGAAAAGAGAATAATACAAATAAAAAGAAAAGACATTGGATTTGGATTGTGTTAGATGGTGTAAGTGATTGAGATATGACTTAGCATATATAAAAGGATGTTTATAGGTTCTGTGCAAATATTGTGCCACTTTATATAAGGGACTTGCTCATTCACAAATTTTGTTATCCTCAGGAGGGTCCTGGAACAAATCCCTTACAGATACAGAGGGATAACTGTACATATTTCTTTACTAAAGTACCAGTTAACACAGTCTGGTATGATGGGACTCACAAGGAATGCAACTTCAAACTCACTGTGTGTAGATGATACTTAAAACATGACACAGTGGGAGTATCTGGTGTCACTTGGTAGCAGGGGCCCATGTATCCCTGGTAGGAGTGTAATTTTGTCTACCTTCATAATGGAAGAAAATGGTAAATTCCAGTAAGAGGTGGATAAAAATAAAGATGAATTAATTTCCCATCCCTCTCTGTGGACCCTAAATTCTTTCTGAACCCCAGGTTAAATACCCTGCTCCAAAGTGAGGCTTGTAGATTTATTTTTCTTAATCAGTTTGTTTATTTTTCTTTTTTTTTTTAAGATATTTTTAAAAGAATTATTTTACTTAACTTTATTTATTTATTTGACCAGAGAAGGACAGAATGAGCGAGTGAGCAAGAGGGAGAGAGAGAGAAAGTGAGAACGCAAGCCACCAGGTCCAAGACTTGAACCGCGGTCAGCCATGTGAGAGTCCAGTGTCTTTAACCACCACGACCATGTTGCAGCCCCTTCACTTCTCTCCTCTTGACATTTTGGGCACACAGGCGTGGTGTGTTTCTCAAGCTGCTAAGTCCAGGACTCAGACCACTCAGTCAGCCTTGTGGCATACATAACCTTAACCACCACACCTCCTGGCTGGCCCTAGATTTATTTTTTAACTCACAATAGAGAAATAACTAAAGTAAATTAGGCTTGGCCTTCTTGGAACATTTTTGGAAGTGCTAGCCTCTGTTAGCGCTCTTCTCTTAGTTCCATGCCGGCCACCCTCTTGTCCTAGAGAGGTACGTTGGCCATATAACTAACACTCACTGTGCTTGTGACCTGAAGAACTTTCTGTGATTTTCAGTGAGTTTATGGTTGAGGAGCACGAACTGCGGAAAGAGAAGATCCAGGAGGATTACAATGACAAGTACTGGGATCAAAGGTACACCATTGTCCAGCAGCAGATCCCATCTTTTCTGCAGAAGATGGCGGACAAGATCCTCAGCACAGGTGAAAGCACACATGGGTGCGTCCATGGTGTGGGGCCACACAGCAGAGCTCTCACCCTGAAGGTCTCTGCCAGGGAAGTCTGGAACCTGGTCCCATGTTGTCAGAGCGTGTGCCTCATCCTGCCAGGTGTCCTGGCTTCTGTCCTGTTGTTCTGATTACTGATTGCCAAAGCACAGGGTCTGTGCTTCATAGCTGGCCTTCACCCCAAGCTGTGCACATGGAGGTGTTAAGCGAGACCAGGCAGATGTTCTGCTGCACCTCCGTATTGATTGCTGGGTGATTCCTGGACACTAGGCAACTTTATTTTGTTTCCTTGCACCGAAGCTTATTTCACAGATGCCTTCTCTCTGTGCTTTTATTTTATTATTTTTTGTAATTCCTAAAACTCCACTACCACACCAGAAAAAAAACATCAAGGACACACGCCACCTGACCAGCAGTGTTTTTAGTCACACTACACAGGCTAGGACCTGATTTAGACACTGGGGAAGTGATTCAGGGACTCAGCACATTGGTTCTAAGAGTTCGTCTGTCACAGGAGGAGTTGGAAGATGATTTGGTAATTGGGTCTCATAAGGTTTTTAAAAAATTATTTCTATGCTCTTGATTAGAAAAATCCAGATATGGGGGCTGACAAGGCACTGGACTCCCACATGGGTGACCATGGTTCAAGTCTTGGACTTGGCAGCTTGCTTTCTCACTTTCTCTTTCTCTCTCTTGCTCTGTGGTCAAATTAAAAATATAATAATGAGGGACCAGCAGTTAGCGTAATGGCTATGTCGCTGGACTCCCATGTAGTCGACCGTGGTTCGCGTCCTGGACCTGGTAGCTTAAATTCACGCCAAGTGCATGTGCATACGTGCCCAAGATCCCGAGAGGAGAATGGAGGAGGAGGGATTGGGGCATGGCCATCCTCCTGGGGGGTGATTTCTCGCTTTCTATCTCTCTGTCTCTCTTTGTCTTTCTGGTGAGCACACGCGCCCTATAGTGAAAAACCTCTCCAAATGATAATAATGATGATGAATAAAATAATTCTTTAAAAATTAAAAAAGGAAAAATCCAGATATGAAGAGCCACAGCATAGTCACAACAGCTCCTACTCTAGTCCATTATAGGTAGCAGTTGTGTTTTTCTACCTAGGGTTAAGTCAGTTTGTAGAACCGTTTTTGTGCAGTCTGTTCTGTCTCTAATCCACTCCCTTCGGACTAAGATAGCTGTGGCTTCAGGCCTGAAATTTATTATATGTATGATAATCTGTATTATTCTAATCTTTATTCTAATGTATTCTAATCTGCTATCCTCTGTCTCTTTTCAGGAAAATATTTAAATGTGGTGAGAGAGTGTGGTCACGATGTCACCTGCCCGGTGGCTAAAGAGATCATCTACACGTTAAAAGAACGGGCATACGTGGAGCAAATTGAGAAGGCATTTAACTATGCTAGCAAGGTGCTGCTGGACTTCCTGATGGAGGAGAAGGAGCTGGTGGCACACTTGAGGTTGTTCTTTGCCCAGTGTTGACTGAACGCTGTTCACCTCTCTTAGTGCAGCATGTGAAATCCACAGATCATGGGATTGAGATTGGAGTGTGACTTGTAGCACTTTTGTTCTGTCCTTTTAAAAGTGGCCATGCTGTCAGATGGGCCCTAGCCTGAGAACCCAGCGACCCAGCACTCAGGTTGCTCCCACATGATGCAGTGAGGGGGGCAGTGTCTACCCTGTGGCACCTTGTCCCAATTCCCCACCTTGCACAGGGTCCACCAGCCCCTCCTTAGCTTCTTTCTGCCAACATCTTCCCCCATCACAGCCTGACACGGTGGTTCCAGTGCCCTTGCCTAGAGAACTGTCCTTCTGTGCTTGTTTTATTATGACTGTGATGAAGTGTTGGCAAGGTGTGGGTGATGTGCTCAGCACCTCCTCCCTGGTGCAGGTCCATCAAACGCTACTTCCTAATGGACCAGGGGGACTTCTTCGTGCACTTCATGGACCTCACTGAAGAGGAGCTCAGGAAACCAGTGGAAGACATCACACCCACCCGCCTGGAGGCTCTTCTGGAACTGGCTCTGCGCATGAGTACTGCCAACACAGACCCCTTCAAAGATGACCTCAAGGTGGGTCTTTCGAGGGGGTAGGGGCTCACTTAGGATCCATACCCTCCACTAACTGAGAAAGAAATTGGAAATAAAGGCACAGTAGAAATCAGCCCTATCCAGTGCTTTTCCACATCAGCTAAGGTGGTCATGTGGCTGGTTTTCTTCTTCATTCTCTTAATTACTGATGAATTCAGTAGTAATTTGCATCTATTGATGTATTAACAGGGGCTCTTAGTCTGTACTTACTATGTCTTTGTCTGGCGTCAATATCAGGCTTATGTTAGCCTCATAGAATAACTTTGGAAATCTTTGCTCGTCAACCTTTTGGAAGAGTTTCAGGAATGGTGTTCATTATTCTTTGAAGTTTGGTAGAATTCACTGTGAAGTTATCTGGTCTTGGCCTTTTCTTTGTTGGGAAGTTTTTTTGTTATTATTATTATTTTTTTTTTGGAGAGGTTTTTGTTATACAGCACGTGTGCTCACCAGAAAGACAGAGAGACAGAAAGCGAGAAATTGTCCCCCAAGGGGGATGGCCACGCCTCAATCCTTTCTCCTCCATTCTCCTCTCAGGACCTTGGCACTCACACACACATGTCCAGCGTGAGTTTAAGCCACCAGGTCCAGGACTCAAACCACAGTCGGCTACATGGGAGTCCGGCGACATAGCCCTTACGCCAACTGCTGGTCCCTGTTGGGAAGTTTTTGATTACTAATTTAATCTCCTCACTAATAGTAGATCTGTTCATCTTTTCTATTTTCTCTGGAGCCAGTCTTTGTAGTTTGTGTGTTTTAATTGCCTATCTCATCTAGGTTATCCAGTTTGTTGGGGTATGGTTCATAAAATGGTTATAATCCTACTTATTTCTGTAAGGTTAATAACAATATCCTGTTTTTGCTTCTTTTTTTTTTTTTTTTTTTTTTTTTTGAGAGAGATTTTTGCTATAAGGCACATTCTCTCACCAGACAGAGAGGCAGAAAGCAACAAATCACCTCCCAAGGGGAATGGCCACACCATAGTCCCTTCTCTATTCTCGGGATTTGGGGCATTCATACACACGTGTCTGGCATGAGTATTTGAAGCAACCAAGTCCGGGACTCAAACCACGATAGACCACGTGGGGAGTCCAGCAACGTAACCATTATGTTAGTTGCTGGTCCCTCCTGTTTTTGCTTCTGATTTTAGTAATTTAGGTCTTTTCTTTTCTTCTTTTTTTTTGCCATAGGGCACATGCACTCACTGGAGAGAGACAGAAATGGGGGGAGCCATGCTGCAATTCCTTGTCTTCCATTCTCTTCTTGAGATTTTGGACATATGCGCACACTCACCTGATGTGATTTTCAGGCCCAGGTCTTGGGCTTGAACTGTGGTCAGCCATGTGAGAGTTCAATGCCAAAACCACCATGCCACTTGCTTGCCCCTCTTCTCTGTCATACAGCTAAAAGTTTGTCAGTTTCATTGATTTTTTTTTTTAAGAATTATTGAATTTTATTAATCATCATTTTTGTTTGTTTGTTTGTTTTGACCAGAGTGAGACACAGAGAGAGAGAGAGGGAAAGTGAAAAAGCAGGCTGCTAGGTCCAGGACTTGAACCGCATGTGGGAGTCCAGCGCCTTAACCACCTCACCACCTGCTGGCCCTGTTGTTGATCTTTTTAAAGAACCAACTTTTGGTCTTGTTGGTCTTGTTGGTCTTGTTGATTTTTTCTATTTTCCCTATCTCTCTTCTAATCTTTATTTTCTTCTTTCTGCTAGTTTTGGGCTTAATTTGTTCTTTCTCTATTTTTAAGTTGTAAAGTCAAGTTATTGATTCAAGATACTTCTCTTTTTTATTTATTTTTTTTTGGGGAGAGTTTTTTTATTATTGGGTGCGTGCGCTTGCTGTAAAGACAGAGAGAGACAAAGAGACAGCAAGCGAGAAATCACCGCCCAGGGGGATGGCCACACCGCAATCCCTTCTTCTCCATTCTCCTCTTGGGATCTTGGGCACACATGCACACAGGCACGGCATGAGTTTAAGTCACCAGGTCTGGGACTCAAACCGTGGTCGACCACATGAGAGTCCAGCGACATAGCCATTACACCAGTTGCTGGTCCTCTGCTTTTTTATTTATTTATTTATTTATTTAATTTGACCAGAGAGAGACAGAAAGGGAAAGTGAGAAAGTAAGCCACCAGGTCCAGGACTTGAACTGTGCTTGGCCATGTGGGAGTCTAGTGCCTTTAACCACTATACCACCTGCCAACCTCCCCCCTTTTTTTAATATATGCATTTTTCGATATATGCATTTATATGGGGTTAAAATAGCCTGTGTTTTTATAGGATAAATTCCTAGTAGTGAAGTTATTAGATCAAAATATAAGTTCCTTGTACAACTAGACTGAGCCTCTGGATCCTAAGCACATGCAAATTCTCTCTCATCTTTACCACTCTGATGGGCAGGACAATTATTTGTTAAATTTTCATTTCTATATTAACTGGTGGTAAGTGTTTGTATTTGATTATTAGCTGATTGTGTGTTCTCCTTTTATTCTTTGTCCTTCATTTTTGTTGTCCTTTTTATTGTATCTGTTTCTTTTTCTTATTCTTTTTAAAAATTTGTGCTATAGGATGTATGCATTCACTGTAGAGAGACAGAGATAGGAAATGAGATGCCACCCCCCTCCCCACAGGGGAGATGGCCACTCCGCAGTCCCTTTTCCTCCATTCTCCTCTTGGGGTTTTGGGCACACACACACGCATGCGCCCAGCATATTTTTCAAGCTCCCCCATTAAGGACTTGAACCACACAGTCCATGCCAGATCCAGCTGCCTTTACTACATCATTGGCTGGCCCTATTATATCTTTTTTATCAATCTGTCACACTCTCCCAGGCATGTAATTGGCACTTACTAAATACTTGAATAAATTCATGTTGTCAGCAGTACTATTTGACTATAGTAACTCTTAGATCTTTACCAAATAGATATACTTTTATCTTTCATCCTTGGCCTGGTACTTAACGTGGTAAAAAATTATTTTAATCTTTAGGGACTCGGGTTTATCTGACTTTTTTTTTTTTCTAGTTTTTCATTTATACATGCATAGCAGCAGGGGAATATTTAAACATTGGTCTAGGGACCAGCAGATGGCGTAATGGTTGTGTTGCTGAACTCCTACGTGGTTGACTGTAGTTCAAGTCCTGGACCCGACAGCTTGAAACTCAGGTTGGGCAAGTGTGTGTGTGTGCCCAAGATCCTGAGAGTATAATGGAAGAGAAGGGACTGTAAGCATGGCCATCTCCCCAGAGGGTGATTTCTCGCTTCCTCTGTCTCTCTGGCAGATCTGTTCTCTCCAGCAAGTGCATGCACCCTATGGTAAAAATTTCTCTAAAGGGACCAGCAGGTCGTGTTGTGGTTAAGGCACTGAACATTCCTACATGGCTGACCACAGTTCGAGTCCCAGACCTCGTGGTTTGCTTTCTCACTTTCCCTCTCTCTCTGTGTCTCTCAGGTCAAATTAAGAAAAAAGAAAAAACAAAGAATAAACACAATTAAATAAATAATTATGTGTGTGTGTGTGTGTGTATGTGTGTGTGTGTGTATATACACACATATATATATATATATGTTTGTCATATATATATATGCTGTATAGTATATATATATCATAAGTATATATATATATATATCAAGTCTCTAAAAAAGGAAAAAAGTAATTGGTTTATATATATATTATATATATACACTATTTATAATATATGTCATGTTTATGATATATATAATATACATATATACACAAAATCATGGGTTTTTTTACTTTAATGGGAAGTGGTTTAATTTTTTAAATAATTATTCAATTTTACTTATTATTTTAATTTGCTATAGGGCATGTGTGTTTACCAGAGAAGGAGAAAGAAAGTAGAAGGCAAGCTGCCAGGTCCAAGATTTGAACTGTAATCAACAGAATCTTAACCATCATGCCACCTGCTGGCCCCAAGTGGTTTAAATTTGAATTAAAAAAATTAATCACTGTGCCAGCCATGTGGCCTGTGATTAAAGCGGCTGGATCCCATGTGGCTGACTGTGTCGTTCAAGTCCCAGACCCAGTGGCTTGAAGAATTTACTGGGTACATATGCGTGGGTACCCCACAATCCAGAGAGGAGAGTGGAAATGAAAAGATTGCAGTGTGGCCATCCACCCTGTGGGGTGCTTTCTCATTTTCTCTCTCTTTGTCTCTCACTGGCAAGAACATATGCCCTTTAACAAATTTTTTAAAAAAGAAAATTTATTACCAATAGGTGTTTGTTATTCTATTTTTTTTAAGCCAGCCTCCAATATTTAACTCCCACATGGCTGACCATGGCTTCAGACCCGGCAGCTTGAAACTCACGCCAGGAGCATGCATGTGTGTGCCCAAGATCCTGGGGAAGAGTGGAGGAGAAGGGATGGCAGCATGGCCATCACCCTGGGGGGTGATTTCTCACTTTCTCTTACTCTGTCTTTCTGTGTCTCTGGCATGTGCACGTACCTTATAGCAAGAAATCTCTTTATAAAAATTAAATAAAATTAATATTGAAGACTTGAGTGCTGGATTTTCTAATCATGATGCAGGGGTAAATGAGGGCCAGGACTTCACTTTTGGCCTTTTCTTCTGAAAGTCAGATGCCTTATTTTATTTATTTTACTCCTAGATTGACCTGATGCCTCATGACCTCATCACTCAGCTTTTGCGCGTTCTGGCCATTGAGACCAAGCAGGAAAAGGCGATGACCCAGGCTGACCCCACTGAGCTCACACTGAGTGGCCTAGAGGCCTTCTCTTTTGACTATATTGTCAAGTGGCCCTTGTCACTAATAATCAACAGGTGAGTAATTAGCCACTCAGAGGCAGTTTCTAGATATTTACTGAGATTTGTAGGAAGCCAGAACTGTTGCTCAGAGCCTGTCTTATCTTGCGGAGGACCTGAGGCAGTTCTCCCAGTCCCCCTGTGCCCAGAGGGGATTCCATTTGGCAGCCCCTATGGAGACTGCTCATCAAGAGCATAGAAAGCCTCATTATGTTTGCATGTGTGCGTGCATATATGTGTGCATATGTGTTGACCAGCAACACTGGTCAGCGTCTGCAGAATCCTGCATGCTCTTTTATAGGAAAGCCCTCACTCGCTACCAGATGCTCTTCAGACACATGTTTTACTGCAAGCATGTGGAACGGCAGCTCTGTAGTGTGTGGATCAGCAACAAAACTGCCAAGCAGTACTCACTGCATTCTGCAAAATGGTGAGTTCTCTCACTGCCCACCCATGTTTCCTCCAAGTAGGACAGTCTTGGGTTTTTGATACTTTTTAAAAGCAATTTGAAAATGTACATTGGTAGCTTTAGATGCATGATGTGTCCATTTTCATGGCTCAGGCAACATAGCACCACTGTCCACCCTGGAAGGAACATTGGCTCTGTCCTTCAGCCCTCTACATGGCCTGTGATGATGGCCGGGTGTCATGACCACCCAGGTCAATCTGTAGGACACACAGCCCTCCTGAGGGTTAGGAGAAATTATTCCCGTCTCCCAAGTATACAGAGCCATGTTGTGCTGGAAACCATTCATTTAACCCAGAGGTGGTCTGTGGCACCTGGTGGTTTTGAAGAAAGGGTCAATGGTAAGATATATAAAGAAAATTTGTGCTGGTAAAACACAAAATATGAGATCTGCGGTTGTGTTATCGTTCCCAGCATTGGCTAACTCCTACCGTGGTTCAGGTGACTGCAGAGTGTGTTTTTGTATCTTCAAGGTCAGACTAGTTGGTGCTGTCCTTATAGGATACAGGGAAATAGGAGTCTCTGAGGGTTATCTGTGGCTGGACAGTTGCCTGAAAGCCTGACACTGCCAAGGGTGGGAGTGGGTGTCCCCAAAAGGAGCGCCTCTTCGTTGGTGTCATTTATGCCTGAGCCAGCCATTGATGAGTTATGAGAGCAGTAACTGAGTCCCATGTGCTCAGAGGAAGCAGTTAGTGTCTGTTGGACACCATAGAGGCACTGGCTCTTTGTCACTTCCTCTGTAACTTTTTTTGTCACTTAGGTTTGCTGGTGCCTTCACTCTGCGACAGCGGATGCTTAACTTTGTTCAAAATATTCAGTACTACATGATGTTTGAAGTGATGGAACCAACCTGGCATATCCTTGAAAAAAACCTGAAATCCGTGAGTTTTAGCACATGACATTAAAGGTTCTTTCCCAACCAGAGTCACAGTGATCGTTCCCCTCCTCCTCTTCTTCAGAGAGAGAAGTGACGGGCGCTTTGGCTACTCCTGAGAAGAATGCAGAGCCTTGTTCCCACGTGCAGACAGTGGGCTTCCTTCCAACCTAGGAAATGAGAGCGGGAGGGAGAGACTGATGGTCTCCCACTTGCCAAGATGCATCAGCATCAGCCGTCTAGACCTGTGGACACCTCTAGGGACCTGCCCTTCCAGGGGCCTCCAAGAGCTCTGGGCACCTGCCCTCCCACATAGCACATCCTAGGTCCATGAGTTCATCAGCCAGAATCTCAGTTGAAAATTCTGGAAGCAGGGACCAGCAGTTGGCATAATGGCTATGTCGCCGGACTCCCACATAGTTGACCACGGTTTGAGTCCTGGACCCAGTGGCTTAAACTCACACTGGGCCTAAGTGTGTGCATGCCCGAGATCTTGAGAGGAGAATGGAGGAGAAGGGATTGTGGTGTGGTCATCCCCCCTGGGGGGTGATTTCTCGCTTTCTGTCTCTCTGTCTGTCTCTGTCTTTCTGGCGAGCGCATGTGCCCTGTAGCAAAAACCTCTCCAAAAAAAAAAATTCTGGAAGCAGAAAGTAGCAAGTATCAGTATTTCTTTCATGCTTTCTTTATGTTTGTTTTGTTTTGTTTGGGGGTGGGGTGGGGGAGGAGAGGTTTTTGCTATAGAGCATGTGTGCTCTCCAGAAAGAAAGAGACAGAAAGCAAGAAATCACCCCTCAGGGGGGATGACCATGCTGTAATCTCTTCTCCTTCATTCTCCTTTTGAGATCTTGGGCACACATGCACAGGAGCCCAGCATGAGTTTAAGCCACTGAGTCTGGAACTTGAGCCACAGTCGACTACATGGGAGTCCAGTGACATAGCCATTATGCCAACTGCTGGTCTCAGTTGTTTGTTTGTTTGTTTGTTTATAAGGTTTCTGCTATATGGTGCATGCACTCACTGGGCAGAGACAGAGAGGGAAAGTGAGAAATCATCCCCCAGAGCAGATGACCATGCAGTAGTCACGTCTTCATTCTTCTCTCGAGATTTTGCCATGCATGCACATGGGCCAGGCATGATTTTCAAGTCGCTGGGCCCGGGACTACAACTGTGATAGGCCATGTGGGAATCTAGTTCCTTAACCACTATGTCACATGCTGGCCACCCTGCCTTCTCTTTTTAAGAACTGAAAACTTGTACCTTTAGGATTATATTTCATTTTCTTCTAGTGATGTTTTGATATTTTCCCTCAAATGATACTTATTTAAAAGGTTTGGGGGACCAGCAGTTAGTGTAATGGCTATGTCGCTGGACTCCCACGTAGTCGATCGCGGTTCGAATCCCGAACCCGGTGGCTTAAACTCACACCAGGTACGTGTGCGTGCGTGGCCAAGATCCTGAGAGGAGCATGGAGGAGAAGGGATTGCAGAGTGACCATCCCCCCTGGCGAGTGATTTCTCGCTTTCTGTCTCTCTGTCTCTCTCTGTCTGTCTGGTGAGCGCATGTGCCCTATAGCAAAAACCTCTTCAAAAAAAAAAAAGAGGAAAAGTTAAATAAATAAATAAATAATAATGAAAGGTTTGGAAACAGGGACTAGCAGATGGCATAATGGTTATGTTGCTGGACTCCCACATAGTTGACCGTGGTTCAAGTCCCAGACCAAACAGCTTAAAACTCATGCCAGGTGCATGTGCATGCATGCCCAAAATCCCAAGAGGAGAATGGAGAAGGGATTACAGCATGGCCATCCCCTCTGTGGGATGATTTCTCACTTTCTGTCTCTCTGTCTCTGGTGAGCACATGCACCACTGTAGCAAAATAATTTGTTTTCAAATAAAAGATGTAAGCGGAGGTACATAAAGCCAAAACTGAATGCTGCAAATATAGAGTGTCTTTTAGTGATGTATTTCAGAGAAAAAGGGCTTGGAGCTGCTATTGCCACACTAAGTCTCAACCTTTTCTCTGCAGGCCTCTAATATCGATGATGTCCTTGGGCACCACACGAGCTTCCTGGACAACTGCTTGAAGGACTGTATGCTCACCAACCCTGAGCTACTGAAGGTCTTCTCCAAGCTCATGTCTGTGTGCGTCATGTTCACCAACTGCATGCAGGTGCGAGCAGGTGCTGGCAGGTGATTGGAGTTTTGGACAGGTGCAGGCAGGTGTGGACAGGTGCAGGCATCCAGGGCATTCCCTGCACATTATCCTGTCCCACATGATCTCCTGCCTTTTTGTTCTGTCAGGGAGCCCAGTTGTTATCTGAAGATTTCCAGACTTCTAGGTCTTCCTGATTAGGTTGTTCCATCCTAAACCTGGGGCTTCCATGGACTTCTGCCGTGGCAGTGTGGGCAAGGACCACCTGATGTCACCATATTCCGGTCACCCTGTCTCTGAGTTGCAGGGTTTGGTTTGTGATGCTGGTCTCTGTCCTAGGCCTTTTTCTCGATGCCCTTGCATTCTCTTTTTGTTATAACTTGAGTTACTCAATTCATTTAAATATTTTTTGACATTTGTTTATGTACTCAAAAACGATGGTACAAAAAAAATTAGTGTCACATGGCAGATGGTGCAGTGTGAGGATTTGCTGGGACTTGAGAGTGCTGGGGTGCTCTGAGGAGCATCATGGAGAGGACTCAGAATCAGGGTGAGCCTGGGCTGCGGAGAGGTGCTGTAGTGGGCTGTGGAGGGGACTATTGCTGTGATGGGCTGTAGAGGGGACAGGTGCTGTGGCAGGCAGTGGAGGGGACAGGTGTGTGAGCCCTATTGCTTAGGCCCTTGGGAGCCCATTGAGTGCAAATGGAGAAACACTGAAAAAGTTTTTAGGAAAAAATTAGTTGATGATTGCTGTGAAAGGTAGACCTGGGAATTTCCTTGGCACAACGAAAGTAACTTCATCTGCAGTCTTTCTGAGAGGTGCTCGGGCGTCTCTGAATCAACAGAGCCTGCACCATACATACACTGAGACATGCATACCTGCAGAGATGGGGGTGTTTCTGCAGAGTTTTGTGGTTGTAACTAACAGAAGTGTTTCTTCATGATCCCCTCAGAAATTTACACAGAGCATGAAATTAGACAGTGAGCTGGGCCGGCTGACACTGGAGCATGGCACGATGCTGGGGCCACCCACAGAGGCTGAGCGAGCTGAGGAGCGCGCCCGGAAGGAGCTTACCAGAAAGGTAAACCTTGCAGGTTCAGAAAGTCCTGTATCACAATGTGATGTGACACAGTGTTAGCAGTGTAACACTCAAGAGAAACAAACTTTCTTCCACCCTTTTTAAACCTGTCACCTTTTTTTTTTTTTTTTTTTTTTTTTTTTTGTTAAAGGGCATGGGCCCCCCCCAGAAAAAGAAAGTGCGCTCGCCAGAAAGAGAAAGAGAGAGAAATAGAAAGCGAGAAATCACCTCCCAGGGGGATGGCCATGCCACAATCCCTTCTCCTCCATTCTCCTCTCGGGATTTTGGGCACGCACGCACATGTGCCCAGAGTGAGTTTAAGCCACCAGGTCCGGGACCTGAACCATGGTCAGTTATGTGGGATTCCAGTGACATAGCCATTACGCCAACTGCTGGTCCCAAACCTGTCACCCTCTTGATTGATAAAAACTCCTGTGTTGACCCCATGGCCTGGTGGTTGGAAGAACTAGATCTCACATGGCTGACCATGTGGTTTGAATTCTGGCCTTGGTGGCTTGAAAAACATGTCAGGTACATGTAAGTGTGTGTCTAAAATCCCTACAGGATGTAGAAGTAGACAAAAAGGGATTATTGGGGCTGGCAGGTGGTGTGGCGGTTAAGGTATTGGAATCCCATGTGGTCAGCTGAGGTTCAAGTCTCGAACCTGACGCTTGCTTTCTCACTTTCCCCCTCTCTCTGGTCAAATTAAAAAGTAATAAATAAAATTAAATAAATAATTTCTCTTTTTTTGAGAGTTTTTTTTTTTTTCTTTTGCTATAGGGTGCGATTGCTCGCCAGAAAGAGAGAGACAGAAAGCGAGAAATAA